TAGGAATCTGTTGCCACTGACGCTGAAGCATTGCTGCCAGACCTAGTTCTTTTCGTCCTCAATCTAGTATCGGGATATGCTGTCTGAAGACATTTGCTCAGACTACTGTGCATGGCTTTATAATTCATCGCATTTCCTTTCATTTTGAAATCTTATTGTGAAGTTCGAAGCCGTTCGCCCTTACTCTTAGGTAATCTTATGTGGTCGAAACCTTTCTATTCGCATTCACACACAACGATTTTTTTGTAGGAAGTTATTTATCATCCCTTTCACTTACGGGTGTTTAATTAGAAGACTATCGCCCTAGTTTTTACTGTATATTGTGTGATCAGAATCCTTGTTCAGTTATGCTGAAACAGCTCTGCGGCTCGCAGTTTTTCCACCACCTAGATGCAATCATGTACGGAAAGAATGAATTCACCTTCAGTTGCAGCCATTTTTTGGCAACGTCATGACACTCTATGTATGCTTTCTCTGATGAAAGTTCTAGTAAAACCATCCTAATAGCTCGATTCTAGCCTGTGGACTAACAGAAAGTGATGAGTAAAATGCAATAGTAATAAAGAAGAAAATTAATGATGTAAAATAGAGAGAACAGTGTAAAATAGAATTCCATAAAATCATTGAATTTGTATGTGATACAGGCAACTGTGTAGATCAATTTACTAATCGCTGATCAACAAATAATGATCAATTGATTGAGTGAACGGAAGTCAGTCATAGATATCAATTTCATATCTGTCACAATTCTTTCTAATCAGTATTCCGATTACATGTTTGCGCTGCTTATGACTTTTAAGATACTTTTTCTAGTCTAAGGATCCATTTTACTAAGTTACTTATCAAAATCAAGTAATCAAAACCAACTATACCCAGTAAATTTCAGTTATGGTATTTTTCAACTTCGTCGAGCGTCGCGTATGACAAAGGAGTCTGCTGTTTGTTGAATGATTAGTTTGTTATTTTTTCATCATGGCAACATTATACGGTCCATTTCTGTCTGTTGTTGCCTCCTTATTTTTTTTTTCGCTTTTCTTTTTGAATTCTTTTCAACTACACACTCTATTGGGAAGGACGGCAGATAGTAACAATAAAACAAACATTCAAAGTAAACAAGAAAAAAAAAAGAAATCATATTTTAAATAAGAAATTCAGTTTGTAAGCACCATAAAAATTTATTTTTATTGTCGTATAATATGTAGGAGTTGATTGCATTCAAAAGTATACAATGGCTAACAGACGTAAACTTCATTGAGTATCTGTGAGAAGATTTAATGATAGAGCACTACTAGTAGAACTTGATTTTCTATGATTTGCTTCACATTTTACGATAAGTATTTTTCGAATTGAATTTATATCTTAGAAAATCTGATACATTCATCTTATTTCTTCATTGAAAAAACAAACAAACAACTGTTTCCTTGATGTTCATTTGCACTTGTAATTCAAAAATTCTTTACGCTATAAAAATATCGGTTTATTTGTCACGTAACACATGCGAAAACAAAGCAATCTTTTTAGATAGTCAAATATGAATATAGAAACCAAAATTGAGAGTATCCTATTCTGAACTTCAGTGAGAATAATTAAGACCTTATTGAATACATATTATTATCAGCAACTAAAGAAGAAGAAAGATTCAGATGAAATTCAAATTTCAACTAAATCTCCAACGATTTTATCATGAGTCTATCGAAATATACATATACGTAGTAGTACTTAATATGAATCGAAACTTACTCAGCTCATCGATGCGTGAGTATGAGTACGGACATTTACTTCACTCACACTGAAACCCATACTCATACTCTCAGATATCAATGCCAAACTAAAAACATATTTCAATTACCAACACTTCATAACCATTAGCATAAGTTTTCGTGCATATCCATGCCATTCTTTTGAGATTTCGATTACCAAAAATTGATATTCAAAAGTACAGTGTCAAAACAGGCTGGAAACATTTTATTTTATCGCAAAACATTTCTCATGATAATTTGATCTGTTAAGCAATTGAAGATAAAATTATACTCATAAAAACTTGGGAGACAGTAGGTGTCAAACATTGATAAAAACATTGTATGACGAAATCGAGGAATGTCGTTACGGTTGACACTGATAATATGTGTATTATAAAAATAAATTTTTCCTATGTCAATTGTGCCCTTATTTTCCATTCGTCTATTTATGGAGAAATAATATTTCAATTTTGTTTTTTTCACAAAAACTATATTCATAATAAGTGTCTATCAATAGAAAAGAAATACTTTCCTAGCAACATGTGATTATAAAACTCATCTATGAAAGATTTTTGTTCATATGCATGGGAAAGAGAATCATATATGTTTACATATATTATAACAAATAGTTAAAAGTATCGCTTGTATTTCTTTTAATATGCTAGTAATTTTCACTTTTTTTTTTAACAGATAATGAACCTTATATTTGTTATTTTTTCTCGTATCGATAGAGAACGAAATGTCTGAGAATGGACAGCAAGGTTGAAGACGTGAACCTTTTTTTAATTCACAAACAACGAACAACAACACCACTGCTGTAATGCATGTCTGATGTCTTTGTGCAAACATAGTAACTTGTTCGGCGAACAAAAAATTGTGCATAACGTTGATTGCATTATGATTCTGCTGGGTTTCTTCTAAAAATGCAATCATGATAAACAAGAAAGATCAACAAAAAAGTGCATTAGCAACGAAGGAAAGATATACACACAGTAATGTGTTTTTATTATCGTTACCATCATTATTTTTCTTCTGTTCGCATCTGTACAGTGAGTGCCAATGCGAAGCTAGAAAATGTAAACAAAAGAGTGCCGAAGAAAATTAAGACAGTGCTTTCCTTTTTTCTTTCTTTCAACATGATTGCATCCCATCAAGAGCTTTTTGCAACTGTTTGCATTTATACTTCTATCGAGTTGACAAATTTGTATGAATAAGAACTGTTCATTATATTACATCTATATCGTTTCTCTTAATGGTTCTTGATGCACAATCATATCATACCGCCAAAATATATATATTACGTGTGATTAGGATTATGTTCAAAAGATCGTTAAAATTGAACGAATCTCTGACAATCTGTTCTCTACAGCTTTTATTTATTTTTAGTTAACAAAGATATTTTAAAATTTCACATGATGTAGATAGAGATTTTTGGTAGCTTTCTTTGTTCTGACAATGTTTACATTGAAAAATTAAGAAAAAAACGGCGAAGAAAATATTAATAAGAAAAGAGAGAAAGATATACCCGAAACTTGAACTGAAAATAAAAAAGTTTGAAAATTTCAGCACTAGGGTGTGGGTGTGCGGTTGTCGGCGTAAGTGAATAGAAGATCTTGCCCACATCCACACTCATACCCTATCTACACATTTTCTGGCTCTTCATTCTCCCGATCATCGCAATGGAAAATGTTAAATTTCGATGCGTATGTCTAGTAAGCAAAAAAGTAAAAGAAAACTTGCAAAGGACTACATAAATACCGTGCTTCATAGCACATTAAAAATTCATTATTTTCTGTTTGATCAAATTTTTTAATATGTTAGTTTTTATCTGCTTCTCACGTCATTCTAGCAGACAATACGATTGTCGTCGAAAAATTCGATTTCAAGGTTTTTAAATTGTTTAATAACCTGTACTCTGTACAGTCGAACGCACTACCTCTTGCTAAAGTTTATAATGATTTTTAAGGGTTTTAGAGGGACTTTACTAAAGTTTTAGATGCAAGAAAAAACTGATTATTTGAATATATTTGTTATTGATGTGTTCAGAAGCACTCTTCTGTGTGTTTCTAATGGTAGCGGATTTAACCATTATGTAACTGATTACATCCAGTGATGACATATGATGAATAAACTTTTATTCTACATATTTGTCTCTTGCATAATTTTGTCAAGAACCAACACTCCATTTTCAAAATGAAAGCTTGCATCATGTTTTTCTCAACATGGACTTCTGTGTTTTTTACTTTTTCGTTTGTCAAAGATTTTTTGCCGTTTTAAATACTTGAGAAAGTTTTAAAATGAAGTAGTACAAACACACTATAACTGATCAAAGTTGGATGCTTTTAAGGTATAGAGAGAAAATTTCCAAAAATCTGACTCACTTAAGTTGTATGAGCATGTTTTGTCTATATTTGATTCTGATCGGAAATCTGTATTACTAAATTTGCAGCAGAAAATTTTTCCAAATGAGCATCAACTTTTTGATCTTCAGAGTACTGGGATAATTCTTGAACAGCTCAAGATTTTGCGCTCAGACTAGTGAACTGTCTCGAGTGGGACACACACTCTGAAAGTTTTACTAGCATCAGTTAAGTGATTTATTGAATCCAACGATCACCTTACGAGTGCTATCCATTCATTGACCTACAAAACCATTATCCAAAGTTTAAGCCTTATTAAACAGAAAAGAAACCATATTATTCAAATTCATTTTTGACTATGGTATCGTTGCTGTCACCAAATGGATATTTTTTTTTCTTTGTAGTTTGATTATTAAGAACAATAATATTCGTATACAAAAAAAGAATATCGAATGCTTTGTGCTATTTACTTTATTTCAAGATATTGCACTCAATTATTTGAAAAAATTACGTTGTAGGAAGTCTGTGCGAAATATATTTTTTCAATTATCGACTATTTCGAAATCATTAGAATGAATCTAAGATAGTCAATTAGAATTAGAATTTTATGCTTGCTTTAAATATATAAATTACTTGAAATTCTTTCTCACTTCAGAATAATCAATCATAAGTGTATACGTGCGTGAGAATTTAAATAGAATTGTGGTTCTGCTATTGTTACTGAATGGCTTAGTGAGCATAAAAGTATAAATGTTACAATCCTTAAATAAAAGCTGAACCTTCTATTCGATTCGATACGTTTTGATAAAATGTAGATTGATCATTAATGTTTCAACATTTATATCTATAAACCTAACAAAAATACTAAAGTTGTTTCCAAAAACAAACGAAAATAAATAATTTAATCTAAACGTGCGATCATTTTGAGTACATATTGTTGAGCATCTTGCATGTCATTTGATAGTTTTTGATATTTAGTTGTTAATATTGATAATTCAGTTTTTAATTTTGTATTTTCAGCACTTAATTCAACATTTTTCCTTTTTAAGTCTTGAATAGAAGACGATTCATTATTTTTATTTTTCATTTGTTTTTCTTTTATATTAATTGATGTACGCATTGAATCAAGTTCTAATTTATATTGATATGATAATGATGATGATTTTTCTAATTCAGTACAAAGTTTACTTATTTGTTCGTTATGTGCCTTTTTTAATCGAGCTATTTCTTGTTCATATTCTTTTTTTTGTTTAATAAGATCACGTAAGTAGTTACTCTTATAACGGCTGTTGTTATCACGACCAGATTCAGATTTTACTATATGAACAGTATCGGAAGAATTTATTGGATTGATATTCATCTGAAAGAGAAAAGATATTTTTTAGAATTTGGTGCGAAAGTTATGACATATGAATAGAAAATTGGCAATGTAGAATATAATTGAATAAAGAAATGAAACTGAAAAAATCAAATGTCTTCTTTCGATTTCAACGATTTTGTTTTTGCCTACAGATACTAAATAGTATTGTAATGAAAACTCTAAAAGGGTTTACGTTTCTATTGAGATTTGACTAAGTTATCGATTTTTTTTTCTAGAGGCTCGAAGTTTTCAGAAAATTTATACGTATTTTCAAAGTCTATTCGAGATATGACACTTTCAAGATATAAACTCTTTTTCATGGAGTGTGTATATAACATGCATTTTTTGAAAGCTTCAAGTCTCAAACAGATTTTATTCATAACTAGAAACTTCTTTCTGAGATAATTTTAATTCAGACCAGAGCTGCCACCAGGCTGGCCTGCCAGGTCATCGGAAAATTTGAAATTCAAATCTGAGTTGATCTGTTTACATTATATTGAAGTAGAATAGGAGACTAGCTCAGACTAGCATAATTGGCCCAATTCAT